ATACCAATTGTTGGATGACTAAGGCACCCCAAGAGGAGGGGTGAATAGGGTTTTAAATTTTTTATTAAAAGAAGGTAATTAAAATAATTCTAATGCTATTTGGTAGAGAGAAAATAATCATACAATTTTTTATAAAAATGGTAAAGAAAAATAGATGCAAGAAAAGAAAATAACATGCATAATATTTTACATGGTTCTACCTAGATTCCAATCCGGCCTATGTTTACGCTAGCCAACTCTCAGACTAGAATCCACTAATACCAGATTTGTCATGCAAACCTCACATCTTTAAACCAAATAAGTTATTTACAACCTAAGTACTCTCCAACATGGGCGAGTACAACCCAATCTAATTACAATTTAAACTTTACTAAGCCAAATGGCTTAGATTAAAAAAAAAAGCAAAAAACAATTTGATGTAAATAATACAAGCTCAAATCATCTTGCAATAAACTGACTAAAATATTTGAGGTGATCTTATAATTTAATTTTAATCATCTCATTACTCGCAAAAGAAATATAACATCTATACACTTTAAAATAGATTTATATTTTGATATAAATATGAATAATATTTTAAATAAAAAATATTTTTCTTGCTGATTTTAAACTATAACTCCTCAAATCATATAAATTTTTTAAAAAATAATTATATTTGAAATGCAAATCAATGACACATAAAAAATATTAAAATACTTGCTTTGTTATCTTTATGTATTTAAAATATTTAACATAGAAAGCTTAATATAACATTCCCAATTAGTATTGATACGGCATCACAAAATTAGCTTGATTGAGCACGAATCTCGAGGCAAAATCAATTCGAAAACTTCAAAATTTAAATTCGAGAGCATATGAACTCTGATTTTGGCGAGCTTACAGTAAAACTGAGCGTCTCGGAAATACGAATCCAACGACACTAAATTCAACCCAATCCGAGCCAAAATAGGTCCGAATCAAGGACCCGAAGCGCTGTTGGAAGGTTCAAACCGCAATTTGAGTTACCAAACTATCTCCGATTTTGACGAGCTTATACTCGAATCAAGCAGCTCGACGAGAGAAATCCAACGAACCCAAGATCGCCGAATTCCAACATCATTAAGGCCTTAAAATGCCAAACGAACGATGCATGATCAAAGGATTTGATATCGGCCGTCCATTCAAAACACTGCCAATTCACCCCTGATCTCACGCCTATTTACGGGTTATAACACTCCAGAAAAACTATAAATAGAGCCCTCATTCTACACCAAGGGGACTCAAGGGAAGAGAGAGAAGAAGAAGAGGAGAAATGGGAAAAGGAGATTCCTCACCTCCTCGATCACCGCCGGAGCTCTTCCTGCCGCCTGAAGACACCGGAACTCTGCCAGATATTTGGTAGAACGCCAGAATTCTTCCCAACTTCCACGGGATGTAGAAATTCTTCTCAATTAACGACAGCGTTCCCTCCTGACACTGAGACTCCGCCCAAGTGAGGCCGGAGTTCTCTTCTGCCACCAACAGACATCAGATTTCTACCCGACGTCGCACCTTCACTCTTCGCCAAGTTTTTACCCGACACCGGACTTTACCGGTTATTGGACTTCGCTGGATGTCTAAGCGAAGATGGATTTCTTTCCATTGTTGGACTTTTACCTGACGTTGTCCTTCTGATCATCGTTGTCAGACTACAGTCCTTCCGACCTCTGCTGCCAATCGACTATGGTCCTCCTGACTTATGTCGCTCGCCGACTACAATCTTTTCGACCTCTGTCGCCCGCCGACTACGGTCCTCCTGACTTATGTCGCCCGCCGACTACAGTCCTTCCGACCTCCGTCGCCAGCCGACTACGGTCCTCCTGACTTACGTCGCCCGCCGACTACAGTCCTTCTGACCTCCGTCGCCAACCGACTACGGTCCTCTTGACTTATGTTGCCCACCGACTACAAGCCTTCCGACCTCCGTCGCCCGCTAACTATGGTCCTCCCGACCAAACGAACATGCCAATAGTGATTCTTTGTATTCACATCATGTAATGTACTCTATAAAATGTACATCAAGCTAAGGCCTTCTCCCAAGGAAGGACCTCATTTATAATCGACTGCAATACTAGTGGATTCATTCAAACTAGGCTAGGCCCCGTGGTTTTTCCCCCTTTTTTCAGGGGTTTTCCACATAAAAATCTTGGTGTCTCATAAATGCTCGACCCTCTCTCTTTATCTGATTGCGTGCCGGATTTTCTTACAACGCTAAGACAATAAACTTTATATTTCTCTACCGCCGCGAATACTCCTGGACGCAACAAGTATTACATCAAATAATAAATATTTTTAAAAAATATATGGTTAAATAAAAACAAGCAAATATTTAAAGAAAAGAAGCAAACTCAAGAACTCCGAGAAAAATGACATGATTTAGTGCGTTGAAGCTTTCCAATCAAGAATTTGATCTTGCAAGTAAAAAGAACTCTCGGAATGAAGACCTTAATTTATATCAAATTAGCTTTTTATATTAACAAGCTTAATGCTATATATACCTGACGTACCTTTGCTTGTGTGTGTGCAAGTGGAATACAATTAGGCCTTGAAATTTATTTTTACTGTAGTCTACTATGTATTATGTTGGAAGTTATAATATTATAAATTAATATTTTTAAAAGTTTCTCAATATATAATAAATTACATATATTGAATTTTGATATATGGACTTTTTAGTCTTATATAGCAAAAATGTTAAAGTTGAAGTTAGAATGAATTTGGCAAATTTTGTATTCATTGGGATATAACATACTTGGAGCTATTAGCAATTGAGATGATCAAGGATGTCCTTCAAGATTGGATGCTTGAGTACAAAGGAATCATCATTGAAGGAGATAATGCAAACATCATGAAGCTCATTCAAGATACGATGAAGAAAGGTGAGCAAAGTTTACATAGTCTATCTTTTTTTAAAGAATTTAATTTAGTTCTTTTTAATTGTATAGATAGAAACTCAAATAAGTTAGCAGATCTTTGTGTTAACTTAACGGTTTTTCTTCTTTTATTTGGGATGACATTGTGTTGGATAGGATTCCTTCTTCATTTCTTAATATTTTGAAGGAGGAATCTATCGGAGGATCTTTGTAGTTGGTTTTTTTTCTTTTATTTTAATGCAATATTTGCTTTCTTCAAAAAAAAAAAAAGAACAACATTATACATTGAACTCCATTATTCAAACGGTGGTTTTAAAACTTCATTTTCTCCACAAACCTTTTTTTTTTAAAGTATATTTGCCTCCATAGTTGTCTTAACAAGAAATGTGCGAGTTGTAATAAAGATACTCGTCCTTAAGAGGAGATCTATTGAACATTCTCATAAGCCAATATTGGGGTTCGCCTTAAGCAGGGCGAGTCGAGGATGATTCCTTAGGTAAGCAATTCGCCACTCGCCATTCGCCGCAACCTCAGACATTAGTGGCCACTGCTAAAACCGTCATCCCTCTTCCAAGCTCAGCTACAAAGAGGCACTCACCGAGGATGCTTTCACATTCTACCAATGCTGATAACATCAACTAATCTCCACTACTAGTCTCCATTTGTCCATTTCTCCTAGTGATCCAAGAGTAATCATGAGATTACCATAAACTCCCACCCAACAGTTCTACCACTATAGAGTTCGTCCAACTCTATGCTAACTCACAGATAAGCCGGCCATCATAGATCTCGCCACTATTCACTCGACACTGCTTCACTTTCCTAGAGATGAATCCTCCAACCCAGCTCTCAAACAAATTAGAGGGAGACACGGGTATATAGTGTAGGATAGCATAGTACATTTAATTTGTGATTGTTGTATTTTCAAGATTTTTCCTATGTAGCCTTCTTTGTAGTCTTTAGAGGACTAGAGCCCTATAAATAAGTGGCACACAAACTATTCTCAAGAGAAGACAAAGAGATCTATTTGATTAGTAGAGAAATTTCTACTTGTTTGAGATATCTGGTTTAGGGGCTATTTAGTTGACTATAAAGTGAATGTAGTATAAAGTAAATATAGTAAAAAGTAAAAACTTGAGGTTGTTTGGATGTCTGTAAAGCGAATGCTAGGGAACTGATTTTTTTTTTATTGGTTGGTTGTAAAGTGAATTGTTGCAGCACGCTGAGCAACGAAGTCGAAGAGAAATGGGGAAATAAAGAAGTTGAAAATCAAACTCTTGACTAAGGTTATAGGGCAAGTAAAACTAGCGAGGACAAATGAGAGCGATAGACCTGCTAGTAAATTCAAATATCATTTAGATACAAATTTGAATTCAGTACTTTTATGTAAACTTTTAAAGTAGCAACAACCGAACCAAATAAGGCCTAAAGTGCTACGACGTATCCTGAAATGCAAAGACTGCCACCGACGTCAATAATCATTAAAATTAGATAGGATCTCAGCAGTTCATATATTATTCATTCTCATCGTAGGGTTCTAATAATTAGATATTATACAGCTTCGAAGCTTGCTGCATGTTGTACCATTTCCCCCACCCTATATAAACCTCATGCCCTTGTCGGGCAGGGCAAAGGGGAACTCAAAATGTCAATTGACTGATCAACTGTGCAAGAGAGAAAGAAGCGAGAGTGGCATCCCGATTACGTTTTAGAGGTAAGAATTCGAATCCATTGTTGAAATCCCGATTCAGATTAGCTTTACGGCATATTCGAGGTGAAATTTTAGCGGATTTCATCTTCTCCGGCAATTTCGCCCTTCTATTGCCGGGAAACCCCATTTGTTTCTTGTTTGTCCAATCTTGACTAGGATGCCTAACTTACTATCGGCGTCATTAATTTCTTAATTTCCTTGAGTAGAGCAAAATTCAATTTGCACTACTTTATCTCCAGATTTTATTAAAAGCTCAGGAATCAATTTCGTTTTCTTTAATTGGTCTATAACTACTGGTAGATCATACTGGAAGGTGAAAAATGAGGTTTGAAAGTTAGATCAAAGATTTACAGTACTAATCGGAACATAATTCAAATTTTCCGCGCGTTTCCTTTATTTTTCAAATTGTTTTTAACCCCGTAAACTGGGCGGGAAAAGCATTTTGTCAAGAAACCTTTCCGTTTCGCTCGTCGGGCTACAAAGATCCTTGATCACAGAGATGCGTGGATCAAGCGACTCCGATGTGACGAATGTAAGCGTGGGATCGTCCGGATCGCGGACGGAAAATCTGGCAACAGCACGCCGTCGATTCTTGCCATCTTCATCCCCGAACGCCTTCTTAACCCCGGCCTTCACCGCTGCAGCATCGGCGGGTGGATCCATCTCTAACAGCCCCTTAGACATCGACCCTTCTCTGCTTCGTTTTACGCAATCTCGCCTTAGTCGACTCCACTTTTCCTCGTCCTCTTCGTCCAACGAGTCACCAGACTCCAGTTCTCCCTCCGCGGCTGTGGCTGCGCGGATGCGGCTGCAGCAACTCCTCAACCTTAAATCGCTCTCCTCTTCATCCCGGCGCGGCTCCACCCGGAGTCCCCTGTCTCCTATTGAGAATCTTCAAACGCCACCTTTAGCTACGATGTCTTCTCCGTCATATCACATCTACAATAATCCCATGAAGATGATGGAAGAGGACGTCCTGGTGATGGATGCTCTGTCCGAGTCCGTGCTAATGCCAGGCCGGACTCGCCAACCCCTGGAACATTTCACATCCTCTTCCTCCTCTTCATCTGCTAACCACAATTCCGTCAACGCCAACTTCTTCTTTAAGACTGAGATCTGCCGCTCCTGGGAAGAATCTGGATTTTGCCGCTTTGGTTCCCGTTGCCAGGTTTCTCCACCAATCCATTTTTACAAAGAATTTTCCATTAGAACTTTCGTGAAGCAGTAACTGAATAAGTTTTTTTGCATTTTTCTTTACTTCACGCAGTTCGCACACGGAAAGGAAGAACTGCGCGATAGCCCTCGTCATTCAAATTTGAAGCCGGAGGTAGAATTCCAAACTAAAAGAAACGAGCTATTTTCTTATAGTCGCTGCATCTTTGTTTGGCCTTTATATATATATTTATATAAATAGATAAGAATTTACTTGCATATATTTAATTCCCTTTTTATATTATGAATCAGTATATTTTTTCTTAAAATAGATGATGAAATTATAACTAGTGTTAGGGCATCTCCAATAGAGAAACTCAATTTTCACTCAAAAATGAATTAATGCATTAAAACACAAACTCTTCTCCTATTGAATTCCATTTTCTAACATAAAAAAAAAAGATTATTCTTAGTATATTCTTTTTCATACTTTATTTTATATATTTTTAATAATATATTTATATTAAAAAAAACATATGGTGGTTGAATAATGCGACGCCAATATTAGCGCCATTCGGCTGGAGCAAGCGAACGACGCTATATATATATTTGACGCTCAACTGAAAAAGGTCATATAAATGATTGGATCCATTTGCCCATACAAAAGTTATTTATCCATGACTAGCTAAGTTTGGCTTAATTATAGATAATATTAATCCACTTTAAAATTTGCATCAAATGTATTCATAATTTGAATTTGAGTTTATGTTGGGCACATAATTTATTTATTTTTCTACTTTTTTTTTTGCTTTATTTTAAGTTTCATATATCAAAATATCATTATATATTATATAAACAGTCATGAAGTTAGAAATTTTTTTAACAGAAATATATTATTAATTTTATTATTCAATGGGAGCACAAATTTAGGCTTCGTTTGGGACTGCTTTTTTATTGCTTTCTAAAACGGAAATTTTTATACTAAAACTCCGTTTTAGAAAGATTTTTGTACTAAAACTCTGTTTTAGAAAGCAATAAAAAAGCGGTTCCAAACAAAGCCTTAGCTTATTATTAATTAAATTCTTCCACCGTAAAAAAAAAAAAAGATTTTTGACCAAGTTTCCATCTCGTGTGAAATTGACAGCAATACTTAAGATCTTCCAAGTTGAAGTATTCATTTGAGTTGTTCTATCTACGCATGTTTTATATGATTTTAGTTGATTTTGCATTCAAGCGCTTCTTGTCCCTCAGAGTGGCAAACTAGGCCCAGTCGTTGCATCCAGCGTATATGACGATAAATATGCCCGATCTGAAGCAATTGATTCTACTTCTGCTCGTCCTGTCGTGATTGGTAAGACTGGTAGTAAGAAGATGAAAATCATCAATTCGAATCGAGACTCGCTTCAGCAGAAGCAGGACCCACAATTCTCTTGGCCACCAACAGATGGTGAGGAGGCTGAGATACAACAGTTGCTCTACGGGCCTAATCGATGTGGCAGAAGGCTCCCGGTATTCACAGATATTTGCCCTGACCCAGATTAATTCTCTTCAAAATCTTAACATTTTGTTGTTAGGTTCTCCCCTGGTTTACGTTTCAGATCTTGACAAACCTTCTGTTTTCATACCTTATATTTTTTCTTTTGAATCATAGATTTCTTTTACTTTTTCTTATGCATTTTATTCGTATTTTTTTCTATGTGATAATACTTTGGATTAGTGTGGTATTAGCAATAATATAGAGCAACATTTCACAAAATATTGGTCAAAAGTAGAAAGTGCTTTTTTTTTTCTTTTTGTGCCTCTGAATTAAATTGCACTTTGACTTTTATTGGATAATTATCAGCATTCTTGTGGAGATTTATTTTTAACTTGTTATGAGTTTCTCTTAATATGGTTTGAATTTGGAAGAATTTTAGCGAGAGCTCAAAAAAATCCTAATTATTGTGTTTCTCCAACCTCTTTCAGTCGCTGCCACTTCTTCCACTCCCTCCAGCTCTCCTAGAGGCCCTTACTTCCTGCGCCATATGCTCCCCTCAGCCTTTTTTGCGTGTGCACCTCATTCTAACACTTTTGTGTTATCCCTCTCCACAAACAACCTCCAGCTAGTCTCCACAAAATACTACTATCTGGTTCCTACTCATGGCTTGATTCCTCTCCCCTCCGGTCTAAGCTCAGCTGTAGAGAGACTCTCATCTAGGACGCCTTTCTCGCCATACCAATGCTCACCACAATATCTAATCTCAGCTTTTTTAGCCGTTCATATAATATTTATTCTTATCATATAGTTCTATTAATTAGATATTATACAGCTTTGAAGCTTGCTGTACGCGATCACATTTTAGTGGTAAGAATTCGAATCCATTTATGAAATCCCTATTCTGATAAGTTTTACGGCATGTTCGAGGTAAAATTTTAGAGGATTTCATGCTCTTGGGGTAATTTCGCCCATGGCCGACAAACTGCATTTGTTTCTTGCTCCTCCAATCTTCTCTAGGATTCCTAACTTTTGATGGGCGCCATAAATTTCTTAATTTCGTTGTGAAGAGCAAAATTTAATTTGCACTACTTCATCTTCAGATTTTATTAAATGCTCAGGCATCAATTTCGTTTTGTTTGATTGGCCTATAGCAACTGGTAGTGGACGCTGGAAGGTGAAAATAATGTTTGAAATTTAGATAAAAAGATGTACAGTAATCTGAACATAATTCAAATTTTCCGCGCGTTTCCTTTTTTTCGGAAATTGTTTTTTTTTTTTTTGGGACATTTAGGTCATTTAAGACAAACTCACACACACAACGCATACAAATAAACTCAGAACCTTGGACCTCTTAGTTGGAAGTCTAAGCTCTCAACCAATAGGTCAAGGAGAGTTGTGTGGAAATTGTTTTTAACCCGGTAAGATCCTCCATCACAGAGATGCGTGGATCAAGCGACTCCGATGAGACGATTGTAAGAGTTGAATTGTCCGGATCGCGCGCGGATCTTCTGGCAAGAGCACGCCGTCGATTCTTGCCATCTGCATCCCCGAACGCATTCTCAACCCCGTCCTTCACCGCTGCAGCATCGGCGGTGGATCCATCTCTAACAACCCCTTAGACATCGACCATTCTCTGCTCCATTTTACGCAATCTCGCCTTAGTCGACCACATTTTTTCCTCTTCCTATTCGTCCAACGAGTCAGGGCGCGTTTTGGACGGCTTCACCTCTGCTTTGCTTTATAATAAATTGTTAAATGCTCGTTTGGGGTACTGTAGCAGAACGAAGTTAGAAAAAATTTCTGCGGCCCGTCGCTGTTTCTCGCGACCTTTCATTGCCTCCCGCGGTCTGTTGCGGGTCGTTGCTTTCCGCCGTTTCAAAGGGCATAAATGACGGAAATGACCAATCGCAATGTTTGCTACAAACCAACGTCGACTTTCTATAGTTCATCCATCTCGGACACACCTTCTTTGATGCGCGCCGATTTGCCAAAGACACTGATGCTTCTCCAACACGCATTCCTCTGATTCTGCTTTCTTCTCTCCATTTCTCCCGGTTAAGATTAGGATTCCTATTTAAATATGGGCTGCGATCAGAGGAATGCGTGTACCCTCTTGAATGAGTTGTGCACCCTCCTCACCTTTCTTCGCTCTCCCCACCTTTTTCTCTCCTCTTTGCTGTCGCCATAGATGCAGCCCAAAGTCGGAATTGTTGCGTATCGCCGACCACGCTGCTCACAGATCTCTCGGACTAGCTTCGCTTTGCTCCTCATCGGTGCCTCGTTCGCACCCCTACTTTGTGGATCCGTCATCTTTGCGATTGGCTGCATTCGCTTTCATTAGGTTATGGCTAAACGCCTGTACCAAGAATATAATTCATTATTGGCTTTTTGAGGAATACATTTAGGATATATATGACTTAAAAAATATATATATTTTTTTAAGTAATATCAAATATTATTATTTTCTCAAGATAATTTTGAAATATGATATTATATTGTAAAAAAAAAAAGAGTACTTTGATATTTAAAAGAAAAAATATTTCATAAAATGGGTACAATTGTAATTTAGAAATGGTAGTTATTTATTATATACATTTAAAAAAAAATTGAAATATACACAATTTTTTTTTAACTCAATATATATAAGGATATCAAGGTAATTGGTTTGCATACAGCTGCAGCACAGCAGCTCCACAGTTATATTTTTCAAATTAAGGGTGCGTTTGAGACGGCTGCAGCTGTCCATAAAGGAGGTTGTGAAGTTGGTGTACAGAAAGTTGCTTTTTGAAGTTACTGTACATAAACAATTATATTTTGTTTGGATAGTATAACTATCAAACTGCTGTGCTGTACCTGTTTACAAACAAATTACCATACTACCCTTATATATATTAAGATGAAAAAAATTTGTTTAAATGTATTTTTTTTTTCTTTTCATGCACATAACACAAATAAAGATCATCTTACATAATAGGAAAAAAGTGTCTTGTGATTCAAAAACAAGTATCATGTATGCTGAGTTAATCTCAACTAGGCGTATCCCAAGCCTTTTTTTTTTTTTAACGACAATCCGTCAAAACCAATAGAAAATCCGTATGCCACATTTCTGAAACTAGATCAAGGAAGAATTGAAAGAGCCAAATTCTCGGTAATATTAGTAAATTCTTCATCACCTTTTTTCCCCAAAGTCTTAAAGCAAATAAATTAAGACTAACATTAAACAAAAACGAGCTAATACTACTTGAAGTGAACAGCAATCACATACATATATGTAAAAAGTAAAAAAAAAAAAAATATAAAACTGTTGCGTCCTGGAGTATTCGCGACGGTAGAGAAATATTTAGTTTAACGTCTTAGCATTGTACAAAGATCCAGCACACAAGCAGATAAGTGAGAGGGTGTAGAATTCATAAGAGAACAGAGTTTTTTACGTGGAAAACCCCTGAAAAGGGGGAAAAACCACGGGGCCTGGCCCAATTTGAATGAATCCACTAGTATTTGTAGTCGATTACAAATGAGGCCCTTCCTTGGGAGAAGGCCTTGGATTGATGTAGTAAATATACATCATATAGATTGCATTACATGGTAGGAGTGACATATACATGTTCGTTTGGTCGGAAGGACCGTAGTCGGCAGGAGACCGGGGTCAGAAAGACCGTTGTTTGTTTTTTTAGGTCGGAATGACCATAGTAGGCGGGCAGTGGATGGTTGGAAGACAGTAGCAACGTGACACATACTAGGAAGTTTATGGGTCTCGCAAAAAGGACCTTTGTAAATGGTCTGATGGAGGTCGGAAAAGGACATTAGTAGCCATGTAGGTGTCTATTCTCGTAGAGGCCATTAGACCGTATGAGGTTGCAAGGAAACCGTGGGTCAGACAAGAACCATTGCTCTTATTGTTTGATTTGTGAGGTGTAGGAGGTGTCGGAAGGACCATAGTAGGTCAACGAAGGCTTTGAAAGATCCCCCGTAGTCGAGGTAGGAATTACTTATCATGGTGTTTGTTCTTTGAAAGAATGTTCTGTCTTGTATTTACGAAATCAACATTCGGAACCATGTAGTGACGACGAATGCTGACATGGACCGTATCATCGCTTATAGGCGATGTTGGTATGTCTGAATAAGACTGTGTCGAGTGATTGAGGTCGGATAGGAGCCAGTATATACAGGGAGATAGAAATATTGAGGAAAATCGACAAAGATCAGAAGGAGTGTAAGCGGTAGGGTGGAGAGACAAGGCAAATCAGGTGAGTAGATCCATGTGTATGAAAGGGTTGATGATGACTTACGCCTATAAGTAGTGTCCGACTTCGCGGTAAATTTCTGAACATCGGGATTAATGTTACGAGGTAGTGCGTCTTCAGTCGGGACGAGGGACTGATAAGTGCGATGCCTTAACGGGACCTTGATCCTCAGCAATAGATGTAGATATGGAGAATACCGAGTGTCTGCAGGGCCTGGATTAGGACGTCGGCGAGATCTATACAAGAGTAGGTTAAGCAGAGAGGCGTAGGACGACTGTGGACACTGCTTAAAGTGGTGGTCCGCAGAGTTCATGCGATTTTATCGCGAGGTTTCCTAGTAATGATCTGGGCTGGTTGGTATCCGTTACGTAGGTTCTTGCTGGATGTGTTATTCTCGTCAAGGAATTATCTCCTGCGGTTGCCCTGGACGGTGGTAGCAATCAGTCTGTTTGTCGAGTGAAGGAGCTCCTTCCTCTTTCTTATCTTTCTATACGCAGTCTTTGTGTCATTCACTTCCGGTACTTGCTTCGTGATCCTACTTTCTATCAGATAATGAGGACTTATTTTAGAATTTTCCCTGAGTAGCATGGCCGTTAAATAGTGCGTTAGTTCAGGGCGATAATGCGTGGTTACGATCGATAGCACGCGAATATTTTGCAATGTGGAAATGTCTTAGACACGATAGCACCGTTGGTGATCATTGAAGGCCTTAATGATGTCGAAATCTGCGATCTTGGGACTCGTTAGTACTTCGTCTGTGAGCCGTCGATCGAGTATAAACACCTACAAAATCGGAGGACCGTTAGTAACTTAAACTGCGAGTTTGAACCTTCCAACAGCGCATGCAAGCCCTTGATTCGGACTCATTTGGCTCGACTTTGGGTTGGATCTATGCATCGTTGGTGTCCGTAATTTTCCCGAGACGACTCAGTTTACTTGAATCTTTCGTGAAAATAGAGTTTCGGGTGCGTCCCAATCAATAATTTGAAGTG